GCGGGGGTGGAGGGGGTGGAAGGGGGAGGGGGGAAGGAGGGGAAGGGGTGGGGGGTGGGGGTGGAGGAAGGGGGGTTAGATTGAAGAACGACCTGATGGACGTGTGGGATAACGTGGGTGTAAATCGCAGGCATGATAATAATAAAGATAATAAAAATAACGATAACAATAACAACAAAAAGAACAATAATACCCCCGTTTCTCACCAAGGCATGTGTCTCCCCGAACATCTCCAGTACATCAGACTTGTACAGGTAATCTGTTGACCAAGAATATCATTAAGAATTTCAACATTTCTCCATAACCTGAGGAGTTTCTCAGGTAACATTTGTGACATTAATTTTGCTTATGTAAGTTAGTGATAATACTCATGGTGATCTTGATTAATAAAGGTCGTATATGGAGTTACTGATAATGGTATTGGTCAAGTGATTATGATGATACTGATCAACTGATTATGATGATACTGATCAGCTGATTATGATGATACTGATCAGCTGATTATGATGATATTGATCAGCTGATTATGACGATATTGATCAGCATTGATACTGACCAGCTGATTATGATGATACTGATCATCTGATTATGATGATATTGATCAGCTGATTATGATGATACTGATGGTGATTATCCTGATATGATAGAGATGAAAATAATACTGATGATGAAGATAATGATAATGATAATAATGATAACAGTAACAGCAATAACAATGCTAATAATAAGAATGGTGTGATGGTAATGGTAGTAATAATTTTAGTAGAAGTATTAGCAGTAATGACAGCAATGATAATGATAATAATGATTATGAAATAAGAACAACAATAATATTCTGATCAACAATAGCGTTGATAATGATAATGATGTCGATAACAAAAATGTAATGATAAAATGATTATTTTGATTGTAACAATGATAATAACATTGATAATGAAAATAATGATGATAATAATAATAATAACAAGGATAATAATAATAACGATAGTAATAATAATGATAGTAATGATTACAATGGTAATAATGATGATGATGATAATAAAATGATAATGATAATAGCAGTAATAATAAGAAGTATGATAACAATAATTGCAATAATGAAAATGGTGATAATAACCACAATAGCAATAACGATAATAATAGTAATAACAACAATATCAATAATCATCCTAATAATAATGATAACAATAAAACGACAACATAAATAATATGAATAATCACAAGAATAATCTTTTTTTTTTTTTTTACTTTAGTTATGATGATAATATTGACAATGATCATGATGATTAAAAAATTGCAATGTACATCAACAATCATAATAATAATAATAATGATAATTTTGATAATGATAATGAAGATGATGCTAGTGAGGGCAATAAAAGCATATACTTACACAAGTTTAGCACCAGAAGGATGAAAATGACTGTTCGATGCCTATTCATTGAGAGGAAAGTTGTTTACATCCACCAGCAGCATCAGCTTGGTCCTCTTGAATGGCCTAGACCAATGTAACGTTTATTTATTTATCTATTTTTCTGCCTTCTTGAAATGTGTCACTTATTTGAATATAAGAAGCGATATTTTTTTTTCTTCTAAAGTGCACGAGTATTCTTAGGTATGGGGTTCAGTGTCTGGAAATCGTATAACACATTGGTTCCGAAAGTGTTTTTTTTTTTTTTTTTTTTTTTTTTTTTTTTTTTTTTTTTTTTTTTTTTTACTGCCCCTCTTGGAACGGTAGGGGTCGAGAGAATGGCTTTTAGGAGCAGTTAACTTCCCCTGCCCCCCCCTCACTCTCTCTCTCTCTCTCTTTCTCTATCCCTCTCTCTATCCCACATTCTCTCTCTCTCTTCCCTGCTCTCTCTCTCTCTCTCTCTCTCTCTCTCTCTCTCTCTCTCTCTCTCTCTCTCTCTCTCTCTCTCTCTCTCTCTCTCTCTCTCTCTCTCTTCTCTCTATCCACTTTCTCTCTCTCTCTTCCCTCTCTCTTCTCTTTCTCTCCTCCCTGCTCCTCCCTCTCTCCCTCTCTCTCTCTCTCTCTCTCTCTCTCTCTCTCTCCTCTCTCTCTCTCTCTCTCTCTCTCTCTCTCTCTCTCTCTATCCATCTATCTATCTATCTATCTCTCTCTCTCTCTCTATCTCTCTCTCTCTTCCTCTGGTCTCTCTCTCTCTTCTCTCTCCTCTCTCCTCTCTCTCTCCTCTCTTCTCCTCTCTCTCTTCTCTCTCTCTCTCTCTCTCTCTCTCTCTCCTCTCTTTCTCCTCTCTCTCTCTATCTCTATCTCATCTCTCTCTCTCCTATCTCTCTCTTCCTCTCTCTCTCTCTCTCTCCCCCTCTCCCTCTCTGCTCTCCTCTCTCGCTCTCTCCTCCAGTCTCTCTCTCTCTCTCTCTCTGTCCTTCCTCCCCTCCTCTCATCCTCCTGCTATTCCCGACATTTTCTGCTCTATCTTTTTTTTCCTGCTCCTCATCTTCCTCTCTCGCTTTTACATGCTGCTCTCTCTTCCTCTCT